GGGCAATATGCTGACTCTCTGTAAACCGCTTAGAGAGGCCTGAAAGGCCTATGAAGCGGTATATAAGTCTACTGCTATTGCTATTGCTATTCTAATTTCCAGTGCCACATTTCTATATTTTTGTTAATGAAGTTAATGAAAACATTGCATGAATTAATGTACATTTGAGGAGGACAAATATTTTGACTAAATGCAGTCAAAGAGGAATTCATTTAATATGGGTCTCTGCACAGCTTCATTCATGGAAAGTTGTTATCTTCTCCTGCCAGTCCCTCTATTTGACATCAGGTTGTAGTAACACTTGGCAAGCCAAGAAAAAATTCTTGGAGCTTCTGGGAGGAAAGAAATTATACAAAATAGAATCCCAGAATAAAAGGATAAATATATGCGTTCCAGGATAATGTTGCAGGATCCAATCTGAGTCTGTCACTGGGGCCAAAGATTTATTCTTCCAAGTGTTTATGCAGTGCTGTAGTCCCTCAAAGTAGAACCTGTTTCTGTTTAACTGGCAATAGTTTATCTCACTAAACCGTGTATAAATTAGCCTTATTCTATTTAACATAGTATCCTAATTAACATGATGCCTTAACTACCTTATTGCTAGAGATTTTATATCGAAGAAATGAAGGAAATCTGTAATAACTTGAAGCCTGGAAAGGACTAGATTACCGTAGTGGATAATCTAGAGATCTAGACAAGATATGTTTATAGAAATTTCTAAATAATTACAAGATCTAAATATCTTTTTCAATAACTGAAGTCCACTCAAAAAAAGCTTCACTACAATCTACTATGATATTAAGGTGAACTCATTTTCTCACCTATAAACTGAACTTGTACTCTCATCAATGCAACTTTGTGTTCTCACATATACATTAATACTGTGATGGCAAACCTATAGCATGCATGCTGGAAGTGGCATGTAGAGCCATCTTTCCAGGCATGCCAGCCATCCCCCGTTGCTCTTCCAGGTTTCAACGCGCACATGCACACCGGCCAGCTGGTCTTTGCATATGTGGGAGCCCAGAAAGCAGGAGAGCAGCTCCCAGGAGCACATGTGTACGCTGGGAAGCTGAGCATCCAGTTTCCAGCATGCACATGTGCACCGGCTGGTCTTTGCGCACGCATGCCTGCCAGAAACCGGAAGGCCAGGAAACTGGCACGCATGCGCATACCAGAAATGCATGCGCATGCTGGGAACCAGAAGCTTCTCTTCCGGTTTCTGGTGCTCCCGCGTGCGTATGGCACTCGGTGCCAAAAAGGTTCGCCAAAATTGCATGAATGTATGGACCTAATCCATCAAGTCAACTCTTTGTTAGATAAGTCTGCTTCTTCATAAATGGAAAGATTAAAGGCATATTTAATTTATACTTCATATTTTTTTAATTGCTCATCTTCGTCAGAGAGGGACTTTTGGAAATACTCTGACATATCTGATATTCTCACTTTTTACTGAGGGTTGGATCATAGAAATTCCAGATTTCACATTATTGAAAATTTTATGAATGTATATTTTTAACACAAATATTCAAAAACATAAACACTGATTTAGTGGGCACAAGCTAATTTATAAGGATAATCTTTAAAGTGAGTAGCATTGTTGCAGTAGTTATTCTAACAAACCATAATGTTGACATAAAACAATTCTAACATATTCCAAAAAGAAAGGTCATCTTTTGATTTTACATTTTGTAATTTATATTAATTTTAGTTATTGCTAATGTTAGGGAACACTTGTTAATTTTTCAGAGAATTCTAGGACAAGTTAATGATCCTAGTTTTAGAAAAGAATACCAAAACCTATTGGTTAAACAAGAAGAGCCTGTTGGCTCCAGAACATTTGTACTTCTACATTTATTTTACTAGCTAGCAAATGATTGTGGTAGTTAGGAAGCTATAATTGTTAGTCTCGGTTTAAAACTAATTGTTAGTCTCCAACTCAGATAAACTGAGAGCTGTTCTTAATTTATAACCAAAATAGCTTGTTTGTAATCCTCTCTTCAACTACTAAAAGTCAGAAAGGAAAACTTTCAGAACTTCAGATGTCTCCAGTGTCTACATTAGTAGTTGTTTCAATGGTGAGTCTGAATTAGTGCACCATATTCTACAGTAAAGAGCTTTCCAACTTTATAACTTCCAATACAGCATGCTTTTCTGTAATTAAAGGCTTATGCACTAACCAGAAACAGTTTTGCAACACAAAGTAAAATACGCTGATGGCTACATGACTTAATTCTTGCACTGTGTGTAGGATTGAACCTTCACTTCCTTTTTTCCTATTACAACAAGAGAAAGTGCTAGGACTCTGTAAATGTTTTGTATTTCACCTATATAAAAAAGCAGCTACTTAAAAAGGCTTTTATTTTATTTCTAGTTTGCTGAAGATTGCAGAATACATGAATATCCTCCAGATGGACCAACGTATGTAATTTACTAACAACTCTTCTGAAATTTGCAGATGTAAAGAGAACCTGGTTTAATTAGATAGGAATTTTGAATTGTTTGTACTTTATCAAAATTATACTACAAAGAAAATATACTACAAATTATACTACAAAGAAAATTAGGATCATCTTGTATTGTCTAATAAACATACCTGATAAAGATAGTCCTTGACTTACGACCAGTTGCTTAGCAACTGTTTGATGTTCCAATAGCCCCTCTCCATCTGCAGATCATGTGGTCATGTTTTGGATTCTTGGGAACTGGCACGTGTTTGTGATTGTTTGCAGAGTCCTATGGTAATGTGTCCACAACTTACAATGTTTTGGGCCAGAAATTAGTGTTTATTTTCAGTTTCAGGCAAAAAAATGTCCATTGTGGACAATGGATTCACTTAATGACTATGGTGATTCACTTAGATGCTCTAAAAAGGTAAAAAAAATCAGACATGATCACATGATGACCCACTTAACAGCACAACTTAACAACTATATATCTGGAATACATGTGATGGTGGGGTTAGAACGCGGGTGAAATCCAACAGGTTCTGACAGGTTCTGGAGAACCAGAAGCTGAAATTTTGAGTAGTTCAGAGAACCAGCAAATGACACCTCTGGCTGGCCCCAGAGTGGGGTGGAGATGGAGATTTTGCAGTATCCTTCCCCTGCCATTCCCACCAAGCCACAGCATGCCCACCAAGCTATGCCCACCAAGCCATGCCCACAAACCAGTAGGGAAAAAAATGAAGTTCACCACTGGGTTAAAGAGTAGTTCTTGTTAATTCTCTTTAGAAATAATAATAAGTTTCTCAAGACAGAAAACAATATTTGCCTGTTTCAATAAATATTAGGGAAATAACTCCATTTCATATACGATGCACCTGTCTTAAATATTGGTGAATTAAAACTAGACAGGTAAAATAATGATAATAGTATAAGAAATAATAGATTGGAAATTAGCAGTTTATATGTAACAGTTTCATTCAGAAAGTTATGGAAATTCATTGTTTTTCAGGTATAAAGGAACAATTCCTGAATATGTCATAAATCTTGACCTGCCACCAAGTGAGAGATGGGTCCAGGTGGTACGTGACAAAAAAAATGAGGTAAGGAACACAGCAGAAAGAATAAAGTATCTTTGTCTTTCTGAGAGAGTTATGATTTAATTAATTTGAATTATCATCGCTAATATCCATACTATTAAAAATGCCCGCCAAAATTAGGTGAAAAGCTGTACAATGTTTTTGCACATTGAAGTCAAGCCATTTGATAAATTGGCAGTTAGGATAAGTCATCTACAATATCCTTCTCCATTTTGGTCCAGTCAAGAGCCTGTAAACTAGTGTTTCTGGATATTCACTATATCTGCAGGTCATCCTGTGGAAACAATTATAAGGGAGTCTGTCTTCCTCAGTTATCCAGAGTAACATTGTAACATATGTAATTGAAATCCAAACGAATTTCCTGAGTAGTTGGTTCTACAGAATAAGAGTCTGCAAGTGGAATAAGTTTCTAAATGTGACAAAATAGGCATGAATAAGTATGACCAGGTAGCAGCAATATAGGTGCCTTCCTACATCGACCTTTGCACCCTCATTGTCACTTTCCAGGTTGAAATGAGGCAGAGAAGGTGTGAACAGATTCCCACTTCAAAGCTTTTTTAGTTACACAAAATTAAGGTTCAAAGTGCCTATGTAAGAATAAATCAGCAGTTTTGTAAATTGTTATACATTATTTATTGCACTTATTTATAATATTTGATATATTTCCATTTAATTGGATCTTGCATTCCATTCCACTAACATAGGTTAATCTCTTGTCTTTTCTTACATTCTTCTAGTTAAAGATTGTAATGAAGACTATTAAAGATATTGTATTGACATTCATCCCTAATGAGAAATTTGTAGCATCTCTGGAGTCAAAAATAGTGAGTATATTTTCTATGTTCAATTTGGGGAAGAAATTAAACCAAGTGTAACATTCTACCTACTACTTACGAACGAATGATACCAGCAGATGGAGACTTATTAATAATTATATATGTGACCTGCTGTTTAAGAATATAATCTCAACCAGTAAGTATAGTGCCTCTTCCTCCCAAAATAAGACTACTTTTCCAAGCAATGTAATGATTTTTAATCAGCACAGTAGATTTTCCATACTGTATCAGAGTACAAGTCTCATTAGTACCCCAAATTTGCTAACTCTTGTTTGGAACATAAAGGAATAATCCAGTCTGATTATCTATTGGCGCATTATACCAACTAACAATAGTGGTACCAGATTTCATTGTTCATTGATCCAACCTAGAGTAGCCATACAGAGTAGTCTGGGCATGTTCTATACAACAAAGTGGATCTTTTTCTAACTGTGGCACAAAACCAAAACTTATTTATGGACAATTTCATTGATTATGATGCAATCCAAAAAGAGAGGTTTTTGCAGAGGGAACAGGAAAATAGATGTAGAAAAATGTAGGAAAAAAATAAAACATTTTTTTCATATATTGTATATATATATATATATATATNCCCTGAGCCGGTGAGATTTGAACCGCTGAACTGCTGATCTAGCAGTAGCCTGCAGTGCTGCATTTAACCACTGCGCCACCTTGGCTCTATATAATCATATAATCATAATAATAATCATATAATCATAATAATCATATAATCAACAGAATTAACAATTAAGCTACTTCAGGTGATACACTAGAAGATTCAGGTGAGCTAAAAGATTTGTTTGGTCCCAAGAACATCAAATTCTCCCTTAATTAATATCTCTTTTGAAGGACATTACACATGGGATGTTACAATGATAGTAGAATTTACAAGGTAGCAAGTTCAGAAGATGGGTATCTGTTGGGTATCATCAGAAGAATCAGATGAAGGTTTCTGTTAATGAGATTGTATATTCTAGCTGGATATATGTGGAATAAGGTCATCATTAAGTGACCCACATCACAAACCATTTACAGATTTTTTTAAAAAATTGATGATCAGCATTTTGAATTTTTCCCAGAAATAGACTAGCCACCTGGTTTTGGAGTGAGCTCCACACAAAATAATTTATGGTAATCTAATTTGAAGATTATAATGGCATTGATCACTAAGATCAGGCATGTTTCTTCTCAATCTTACACTGAACCGAGAAAGAGCAGCCAGAATAATGTTAGAGGTAGATTCTTATCTTCAAAAAATGTATTTAATAAAACAGGAACTAACCAAGACCAAGAATATCGCTGTATAAGAGAGAGATTTGGCCAAGTTGTACTTTCTTGTTTCCTATATAGAATTAGAATGTGGATAACTTAACTTCAAATTATTAGTCTGAAAACAGAACTGGATGGATGGTTGGATGATGCAATGATATTTACTTGTCATTGGAGACCTTAACTGTCAATCAATGACAGTTTCATATGTTTAAAATGCATTCATTTATGATCCACATACCTACTTCAAAACAAATTAGAGTGTATGTGGATGGAAGGTGATTTATTAGATCAAGATTCCAACAAAAAGCTTCCTTAGCAGGATGAACATGACTTTCTGCCGTACATCTGCCATATTTCCATAAAATCCCTCGTGTCATCTTTCAAAGTCACAAATCCCTATGCAAGATGTACTTTTAGAGGTTCATGGAAGTATTCCAGAAGCATCTATGGAGGAGGGAAGAGGGAATATCAACATACTGATGGCATGATGAAAGTCCTATTCCTTTTCTATATTTAAAGGGTGAAAAATTCAATGTATAGCCACAGCCAGCATCTTGACTTTTTTTGGTGCCATCACATATGCTTGATGAGTTCTCCTGACCATATCCAAAATTAAATTACCAAATTGTAATATGTGACTAGTAATTTTTGCATACTTGGTGAATAATGGTTAATTTATAATGAAATATTTGTTAAGGAAACCTAAATGAAATCAAATCAATGATAACTTTTGTCCAAATTTGGGAAGCCCTTAGCATTCTACTAAAAATAATTGTGGCCCTTGTACACATAGGAACACACAAACTGTAACACAACAATGTTCACGTGCTGCCCAAAAGAGAAAACAGTTTATTCCACTATTTGGTCTAACAAAGAAGACCATTGTTTTATACTTGGGTTAACATCTGGAAGGAAGAATAAGGAAGGCTGTGTAAGAGAAATGGTGCAAAGATTAGAATTTTAAACCACAAAATCCTTCACTGGTAAAAGACTTCAAGTACTGAAATGTAAAAAAAAAAAAAATGCTGTTTTTAAGCGTGCTGTGTATTGGAGGCCATTTAGCCTGCTTCTTGAAAGTTCTGTTTAAATACTAAGTCACATCTAATATAGCATCAGGTACTAGATACCTAGTAAATGTCACACCAAGAGTTTTACTGTTCCTACAACACAAAGCCTCCTGAGGCTTTTTTAATTAGAGTTGCAGTGAACCTTTTCACCAGTGTTACAAACACTGATAAACAATCCCCTCAGAACACGAAAGCTTTAGATATGGGTAGGGCACTCTTCACTGTGAATTTGAGTGCATTTCCCCAGGCACGATAGCAAGGCCTGAGCCTAAAACATTCTGAAAATTGCACCAAGCCAGGGGGGAAATTTATTCTGCTCCAAGTGTTCGAACCAATTGAGCTTCTGAACTATCAGGCAGCTGGTGGAGTGAGAGCACTCTGTTAAGTTGTTAACGGTGATCCGTCTGTGTGCATTTATTAGAGGAAGGTTTTAAAAAACAGGCTAGAGGTTGTCCCAGGATTTGATGAGGGAATTAAAATAAAGATAAATTGGATCCATTAAGTATAGACAGACATTTCTGAGGTTTGATGAAGGAAGGAGAAAAGAGGAGAAAGAGAAGGCAGACAGTTCTTCAACCTTTCTGCCAGGGTGAGCCCTGTCTCTTAGGTGGGACAAATGGCTTAACAAGTCTACCAGCTTCTACTGGAAGGAGGGGAAAACCCCTGATTTAATTAGGAAGCTATGAATATGGCAGTAACTGATTCTCTGGATCCACTGGAGTACAAAAATGGTATGTCTTCAACTGCAGCTGCAACGAATGTTTTAAATCTCAAGAGACTATTTAAATATGAATATTTTAAAACACAAACACAACAAAAACCAGGCAGAGAGACGAGAGTGGAAATGGAGGTTTATTGTGCTGAACAATAAAATGCCCACATAAAATATTGAATAATTTTAGAGTTGAACTGGGTTTGAAAAATGCTGAGATATTGCTTTCTAACTAACTTATTTTCTTAAAAAAAAATGATGGATGCTTTTTTGTAAGAGTTACAATGAAAAGTTTATGGTCTTCATTTTCCTTCCCTTCCCTTCTCTTCTCTTCCCTTCTCTCAGAGTTTCCAGCATTTGAAGTGGACAAGTAATCAGAGCTGAACTGCAATGTTCATGGCATTAATCTACTATTTGGTTTCTTTAGAGGCCATTTCTAAGACCATGGTTTTTCTCACTTCTGGTCATTGGAGCCAAGCATTATACACTATGTTTCTCTATTCCTTATACCCTGAAAATAAAGCTAACCCTGGGTCTTAATTAAGCATATATGCCTACCTATAGCTTAGGCCTTATTGTTATAATATTAGCCCTGGGGGGGGGGTGGCGTTCACCGACAAAAGGGCGCCCAATGAAACCGCGGTGACAAAACCGTGAGTTCTAAACCGCGCCGACGAATGAGCGCTGAAGCGGGCCAACAACAGTGCGCCGACAGAAGCGCGCTCTAACCCTAACCCTGACCCTGACCCTGACCCTGACC